AGCTGCTGTTTTTCCCTGCAAAATGAACTGGATGTTCTTGTGGTTATTTTTTCTTCCCAAAACTCATAAACAGAGGTGGTCCTACACATTCCCTTCTAATGAATAATTGCCCTCTCATTAAACAACTAAGGAATGTTATAACTTTTTAATAATAAGAAAACTTGTCTCCCATACGTGGAGGTTGTTGAATGACTTCCTGCCTTCATCTTAAATAGAGGAGCTAAAGGCAGGTGACAGCACTTCTTTCAGCACGTGCTGTTGATTGTGTCATTGAAAAGAAAACACCGATGCCAGGGTTAGCCATTTCTTTGAAGTGGAGTTTCACGTCTTAACTCTTTTGGCACAGAAAGGTGAAAATTTAGCAGTTGTATCACCATGCATAGCATCAGCTCTTTCAGGCAGTTAGTGTGACACAAAAGCTTTGTTTCTCATCTCTCAAGGAGCGTTTCAGAGCCCTTTGTGAACCACTAACCCATGAGGAAGAAAGGATACAGTTTCCTTCTGGTCTGTTTTGTTAAATCTGTGCACGGAAGGATCCACTAAGCACCCAAAGTTGATGCAAAGGAGATGGTGGGACATGTAGCCTGGATGAGGGAAGCCAGGGAGAGAGGAGCTGGGTCACAACGGGAAGGAACAGGAGATGAGAGCAGTGGTAAAGTGAGATTGCTTCTGCTGCTTGTGGAGTTGCAGACTAGCACCTTCGGACTTCACAGCCTTGCTGTAGTTTTCACTGGCTGTCCTAGAGCTTCCCTCTCTCCTCTGTGTATAGTTTCTGCTCGTTTCTGTCCTCCTGCTTACCCCTGCCAAGGCAAAATCTATGTGTACTTATGGATATTAGGAAACATCCTGTGATGAGATAGGAAAGATCCAGCATTCACATACACACCCTTGCTTAATGCAGTGCTTGGTCCTATTACTAAGATTTTGCAAAAATAATGAAAGATTTTTGGAGGCTTCTATTTGCATTGCCTAGATCTTTTCAAATGAATATGTAATTCTTGTGACTAGTGTTGTCTTCTTTCTGAAAAATTGAGCTGCTTGAGCTAAAATCATGTTTCCTTGTCGTAGTTTTGGGTTAAAAGGCCAAACAGTATGTTTTGTTGAGTTTTACTACCTAGTGCCTTTTTGATTACAGGTGACCCTTGAGGGTAACGCTTCCTGGCTGCTGAGGATCAGCATAAGACGTGTGCAGATCTTAACACGTGGGCATACTGTTTAAATGAAGTTAATTGGCGTGTAGGTCTGTTGTTGATTTGCAGTTTGAATGTAACCCTTAGCCTTGACTCTTTAAGCAATGTAGAAGTTATGTGAGACTAGAATAATTCAGAGCTACGAGGAAGAAAGATCTTTGAATACTAAATTTATTTCAATGTGGTCACACATCTAGCCATTTTGACCTGGAGTATATGTTGACAAAGCACTGGTTGAAAACCTTTCTACACTTTTTTGCTCCTGTGTCATCTGGTTTATTGCATGAGACTACGCATCTATCTCTGCTTGTCTTTACAGAAAGTTTTGGCAGGGGTAGATGATCTGCAGCGAGTGAAGGTCCTAGAGATGCGAGTAGATACAAGAGAGAACAGCCTGGGGAACTTTGGTAAGAAAACATTTTATCTTCTGCTCACCACCTCAAATTTTCCTTATCATGTCTTGAAGCAGGACTGGGGACTCAGAAGCCAACAGCCAGTGTAAAGTACTGTCCTGCTCAAGAACTCTTGAAACAGGATCTCCCTGGTACTTCTCACTACTTGATGTCTGTTTTCTTCCATGAGGCTCTAAATAGGACTGAAAACTGTGGCAATAGGATGAGTGACACCACTTCTGTCTAAAGCCCAATAGTTTGAACAAACTCCTCTTGAATGACATGACTCTAGACCCTAAGTGAGCATTTACTGATTACCTTGCCCTCTAGAATATTTGATGCTACTCTAGCCAAAGCTCAGTTCCTCTCCACTGTAAGATTTTCTTGTGGCTGAGAAATCGCTGCCAACAGCCTGTCTTTGTGTCCTGTGCTGCCTCATCGAGCTGTGCTGGGTGATGTGCTGGAGGAAGACCTTGTAGGTAAATCATTTTGATGAGCCCTAAACAGCCCTAATGCTTGCGATTCATTTCTGTGTCATTGTCACTGCACTGGGGAAGTAGGGAGGTACCAAAGGAATTCCCATTGTAGTAGCGTTAACACTGAGAATGTGAAACCTTCCTTTTTTCCAGTACTGGCAGTTATTTACTGTCATGTGGATTCCCATCAAGTCCATCTTCTGCTACATTGAAGCTGAGTAACTACGGCAGGGTACTATTTTCTGTGCCAAAAGGAGTGATGGCCTCAAAAGTGGGTGCTGGTATTTTCAACCAAGCAGTTCATTTCCATGTGCAAGTGACTGTAATGTAACAGCCGATTAGCTTTAGTGGGTCTTTTGATATCGATTTGTCAAGAATAGTAAGCAAGTACAATGAAGGGGCTTTTGTCTTGAATTATATAGCCACTTTGTATTGGTTAGTCTGTTTATTTTGTAAATAGGTCTCTTTCTGATAGGCACTTGGTAATTTAAGGTAAATTACATCCGTTTCTTTCAGCACTTGATAATTTAAGGTAAATTACATCCGTTTCAGAGATCATAATCTATTCAGTCATGTTTCCTCCAGTTGATAAGAAAATCTCATGATGCCATTTCTACAATGCTCAAAAGTGGTGCTCCCATTCCGATGCCATTTTACATTAGCTGTGACAAGCTAGCAAAATCTTTCACCTTTTTCACTCTGTACTTCCCTTTCCTTTCCATTACTGGAATAAATCCCTTCCTTTCTACTCCCCATGGTTAGGCTTTTGCAACTTTTACAGAATACAGAGCACTATTCCCATGTTGCAAACAATTTCCATCTTGTTTATGTCCCACCATTTGCACCAAGAGTTGGCCCTTGAGGGCTATAAAAAGCAGCAGCTGCAGGTCCCCACTGCTTTTGAGAATAACAGAAAATCAAGATCATCCTGAATTTCCTTCTGTCTTTTTTTGGTTTTTAAAGTGCAATTCTGAATTTCCCCCCTGTGAAAATCTCTTTGCAAATGTCAGCAGGTGGCTAGGGCAGAAAGTTTACGACTTCATGCTTCCAGTGATCATCAGTTCCTTGCAGGTTTTTTTTTTCATGTGACAGCTCATTTTTAGGCGCATGGAGTAAGGCCTAAATTTTTAGGGGTATTGCAGGGCAGTTTGTACCTTCAGTGTGAATGGTGTAAGCAAGTTGAAGGTGTCGGACTCATTGCGTCCTCCTCGCTGGCTGCCTGCCCCTGAAACTCTGCGCTGCTGACTTGGTCTCTGGTCACAGGGGTCTGGATAAATAGCCCGAGGGAAGGAGGAGGGTAAGAACCAGACCAGCTGGAATAACAAAAAGGAAAAGCTTTTCCATCATTAGGACAGTTGAGCTATAGGGGTATCCAGAGAGGTTTGGAGTCTCCATCGCTGGAGGTTTTCAAGACCTGGCTGGGTGAAGACCTGAGCACCCTGGTCTGATCTCAGAGAAGACCTGCCTCTGAGCAGGAGGCTGGGCTCGAGACCTCCTCCAGCCTGGACCGCTCTGCAATTTGGTGTTTCTGTTTGCATTCCAGACCTGGCTTATTAGCTTTCTTTATAGCCATATTAAATCACTTAACCTTGCTCTCACTGTATTCCTCAGTTGCAGAAGGTGGGTAAGAGCATCTTTATCATCAAGGAATTATTTGTTTGGATGATCAGTTTGCACGGAGTAAACAATATTGTTTTAAATGGTTTTATATGTAAAGATAAAATAGGCTGCGTAAGCTCTTAAATGGCCTGGGGAAACTGTTGCAAGTTACTAGACCACACATAACTCTGGGTCACCTGGAACCTTGCAGCACTCGAGTCCCAAATTTACACTGCAATTTCCACTTGAGAAATGTTTCAATGTTTGCAGCCATACGCAGACTGTAACACAAGCACTGAGGGCCTACGTCTTCTTTAGCAAGATTTCCAGAATTGTTTAAAACATGCTGCTTGAGTTTTTCTTATGAGCATTCCATTTTGGGATTTGCTAAACTTTAAAGTGCCATCCTGCTAACCTTTCCCAGTTTGTCAGGTCACCCTCTACATAGTGGCGTGACATGGTGGGGAGGAACAGTTATGTTTCTTAGGGGCAGGGTGTGGGCTGAAACACGAAAAGACCAATATTAAAATATTTTCACATGTTCACTTTTAAAATTAAGGAAAGACTTCGTGCCAGAGCTTGAATGTGAGTCTTAACAGGGCTCGGGGTAATTGCTGAAATCCATAGCTGTTTGTTTTCAGTGCACCTTGCTCAGTGACAGGCGAAACGTTGAACCCCCCTGCCAAGTCTTGTAGCCAGCTTTGCAGATCTTGGACTTCTGTACTCTTGAGCTACATGTAGGCTTCAGTTCGTACTGAAATAGATGGGCTATTTCCTTTTCATTAGCTTATCCCTTCGGTTTTGATTGCTGACAGATCTGGGATCGGCTCGTAGAAATTCCTGTTGAAAGTAATGGTGGGATAGAGTAATTTAAGACACTACATAGTTCTCTTACTTCTAAGTGATTTTAATAGCTACAAATCAAGTTACCCACAGTGCTGTTCGCTGGTACTTATTAAATTGTTGCCTGCTAGTGGCCAGGCTAAGTTGATTACGTGTCTGGAGACTGCTGCTTCCCTTGCACGCATTTTATCAAGGAAAAGCTCTGCTGAAGGTTCAGAAGTAGGCACGCGTTATTTTTCACGCAGAGTCATCATCTTTCTTTCCTCTTGCTCTATTTGTTGGTATTCCTGATGCAAAGCCGGAAGGCGTTTGTTGGCAGCCAGCATCACAGCGGCAGGTACTCGCATGGTCAGGAAGCCGATGCGGAGGCTGGAGGCGTGAGTCCGACGTGTGCATCCCTGCCCACGCTGGTCTTGGTCTAACTGGTACTGACAAGCCTTGCTGAGAAGGTGCCACAGCACCCGCTGCAGCAGGGCTTGGGCAGGCTCTCCAGGAGTCATAAGTACGTACTGGGGCAGGGAACTTATGTTAAACCCTGTATTAATGTGGGGTTTTGTGAGATTCTCATCTCAGATAGCTAGGCTGCAGCTAGCTTGGGTTTACCTGCAAGTGCTGTGGTCTTATCTCCAGTTGCGTTGCCCAATTCACCCCAGAAACATGCAAAAAATACACATTTAGAACCTGCATGGAAATAACATCAATGTGATGTATCTTAGTTGATCAAACACAGCTTAAGTGAATTAAATAGCCTGTTTAATTTATATATCAAGTTGCTCTTGCTTGAAGAGTACAGCCCGTGTTCACATGCCTGTTTTGTACCGTAGGATCAACAAAACACATAGATTGCCTGATGCAAATGCAAGTATTTGTCAATAATTCCTTTTGTGTATATTTTTCACTAGTCCATATTCCAGAGGGCGTAAGAAGTCAAGCCACGATGATGTTTTGTTAACAACAGAAAAACGAGATACATGATGCTACCTAAAGAATACATCATAATCTAAACAGCAAGTGTTACAAGTTTTGTAGCTTGTAGAACATGATAAAACCTTACTCCTTACTCACTCCTATCAATTATCTAAATGTCTCCTGCAGCTCCAAGGCAGCTCAGAAAGACATCTGCATTGCTACCCTGCTTGTGAAGCACAGCACTTAAGGCAACGTTGTTGAGTGTGCGTGTATCCCTTTTATTCACCTGCCTTACACATTGATTTCTGTCTGCTCTTCATTTAGTTTTGTTCCACTGGGATAGTACAGTAGAGTAGTTTAACACTAGTACATTGTTGGTGGTTAGTCGTTTCAGAGCCATATAACAAAAAGGGTATTTAGTGAGAGGGAATCGTAGACAGTTGAGATGATAACATTGCTGGCCATTCTGAATTCTCCGCCTTGTACTGCGGTCATCGGCATTTTTCTGGAGTATTCTCATTTTTAAAAATCAAAATTATACAGTATGAAGGCAGTTTCAGGAAGAGGAATATATTGCTTGTACTTTTAAAATTAATATTAGATGTTAATATTGTTGATATTTTAGAGTATTTTTATGTTAGTGTAAGAATAAATTGCATCCTTGCTCTCAGGAAAGATGCCATGAGTGTCGAAATTAAGATAATTAAAAGTATGTTGTTACATTTGAATAGATCTTTTATTTTGTCATCTTCATTTTAGAATTTTCTCTTCTTAACTTAATCGTCCAGTCTCTAATCTATTTATAAGGAATTGGGACTATAAAACCCAGCAAAATCAAATGGACAATGAATTCCTAGCAGCAAAGAACAAATACGTATTGGATGTAAAACTTAAAGGAGGGAAGAACTTGCAAAATTGCAGAAATATATCGCAAAATTTTTGCTGGCAGAATTTTGCACCGCTGCACATGGTATACTTTTATTTCGGCCTAGTAAACAGCACAGTAGAGCTTAACACTCTACAACTTCCCAGGGATAGATTGTGCCAAAATACAATAAAATGTCTGAGATGGAAGATCAGGTTACAATAATGAAATAACCAGATGTGAAAACTGGATCGTCAGCCTGTCACTCTGCTGCTTTGAATCCTTTCATGGTGTTTTCTTTTTTTCCTGAACTAACCCTAAATGCATTCCTTGGAAAGCTTTTTCTTGAGCAAGTCTTTCCATTTCTCTTGAGCTGGTCTTCTTAACTCCCCTTCAAATCTTCTGCTTAATGCTAGTTTTTAAACTCCATTTGCTTTGTAATGCTTCGCAATAGCCTTTGCTTGGTAACCCTTTAACCTCTGTGGTTGAATCCATGGCAAGGCTATTACCCGCTGCCGTGGTGGGACTGGAGAGACCCCTGCATCCTTCTTGTTCTTTCTTTCAACGCGTTGGGGGAAGTCATCTCTCTGTGCTTCAAGTTGCTTATCAAAAACGTGGTAACAATTTTTTTTCATCTAGATTTTGATTTCTTTTTTTCTGGGAGGGTTTTTTTAGTGCATGGATTATATCTGAGGAAGTCTTTGCTCAGTAGTTAGTATGATTGCTGTGAATAATTAACAGAGATCCTAGTATCTCCTCTGTCAGGACTCCCAATTATTTTGTTGCCATACTTTATAAAACTTGTTTGATGTGAGAAAGTATGCCCTGCAGGATGAGGATAGTGTGTTATAATTTGTACTACAATTTTTATGGATTATGTAAAATGATTGAAAAATAAGGCTAAAAAATTACACAATGTGTTTTGAATTTTTAACATTTTCTAAAGAGCTTTGCAAAGATGTGAAGTTAAATATTTGCAGTATAGCATGAAGATCAATATGTGTATTATAATCACTCCCAAATAGCATTAGATATAGATAATGCTTCCACTAAAACAAGATTTATTAAAATGTTTTTGCCATAAATGCTCTTGTTCTGTTTGGGGAAATGAGATGAGCAACATGACCTCCTTTGTTTGCTTTTGAGATCCCACTCCCTTTTTCTTTCTCTTTATTTTATTTTTTTTTCCATTTTTTCTTTTGATCCTTTGCAAAGAGCTGGAATGATGACCTTCTGGACACTGCTGAATCACCCTTGCCAGAGAGAGATTACTCAGAGGACTCATAAAAATATTTGCTGAGAACAGATTTTAATGTTTTAGCAATGATCCCATTTGTCTAAAATTGATATTACCTCTACATGGTTGCATGTTATATCGGAGGATGCTCGCCAGCCATGGGTAAACTTTACTAGTGGGAATGGGTAAAAGCTTGCTGTTTGTCAATAGCAAATGTTTCCTGGGACTTAAGCTTATATCCAAATTATTCTGTAGCTTGGAAGGATTTGGTCTATGATTTTGGTTCAGAGATACCCATAGAGGCAACCAAAAAGGCAAATGTCTCTTGGGAATAGAAAAAAAGCATTAATCAAAGTAATGGCAACAGAACGCTGAGGTTTTCATAGATACAAAACTTGTACAATTGAATAATAAACAATGGATGACATCCAGAAAATTAAAAGGAGAAGGCAATGCTTAGCAAAAAGTTAAGTAGCGTTTTGGGGACCTCTGAACTGTAAAAGGTGATGTTGTGACATGGGAAATTATGCTTTTGTTGCTTGACTCAAAATTACATGTTGAAGAAGTGTTACTTAGCTGTGTATCCAATAAGTCCATCGCTACTTGGCATTTAATAAGTAGAAAAAGATTTTGGGGGAAAGAAGCAAGAGCATTATGTAGAAATCAGAGGTCATGGAATGCTATACTCTAAAGCATCCCTCACCTCTTCAGAGTATCCCTCAGTTAATAGTCAGTAAGGGTTGGGAATCAGACCAAAGAAAACAGTCACCCATCAAGCCGGTTTCTGTTGTTGTCTGTCTGGAAAGATACTCCATCAGAATTGTCAGAGAGGAGTTCCAAAAATTATAATTGGATAGTCACGCAGACAATACGTATATGTTGCAAAAATGTAAAGAGTGAAATATTTTTCAAGTGAAATAATCTCATTCATTTTCTTAGAAAAGGTCCAGCATGGATCTGGCAGAAGCAGGTAAGAAATGCATGTAAAATTAGATGCTTCAACTTGTAATTGTCGGAAGTTTCCTCTACTCCATTCCCAGGTCTGCAAAGTGATTCTTTATTCTGTTCCATAGGTGCCTATCTACCTAATCTGAGAGAACTGAAGTTGAACAATAGCTTGCTTGTGTCTGTGAGGTAAGAAATGAATGATAACTGAAATAAACATAAAGAATGACAGCCCTTCATTTTATTTAAGTGGTAAAATCTTCATTTGCACTGCTTTCGTTTCTTCGATTTCCCCATGCCATGATAGTGGATTAGGTCATGAATATGTGCTCTGCAACCACGTAAGTTTAAGGACAGGACCTGAGCTGGAATAAATCAGCGTGGCTGCAGTGGTGCCAATGAATTAGCCCCAGTCTGTCACCAGGGAAGTTCCTGTCATGCTGAAATCCATGGAAATTTGTTGCAAATTTGAAAGGAGCTAGAAATTCACTTCTTACCTACATCTAGGTGCTTGGATTTCAGAGTGTTTCAGCCTTTGGGCTTTTATTGTGCACAGTAGCCTGTTCTATACAGGTCCGACAAGTTCCTCAGCTGATGAAAATCACTTTGGCTTTATTGAAGTCAATGAAGTTGGGTTTGTGAGAGCTGCTGTGAAGACTGTGTGTCCCTGGTTTGCTGAGCTCTATGAAAGTATTGCACGTTTTCTCCTGGAGAAGTGGGGAGTTGGCAGATTAGGAAGGTAGAGGTGAAAACTGTCGCAACAAGGAGGCAGAGCTGTCTTCTCTGTCCTGTGTTGATATCTGTATTACCCTCAGTAATTAATGTATAATGGAAAAGTACAGTTCATATCAGTAAAGGGCTGTGCGAAAGGCCATCTTTGTGTTAAAACAGGACTGCTCTCTGGCTTTGTATGGCTATGTGCTAAATTTGAAGGGAAAAAAAATAAGCGATTTTGCTATTTCTTGTTAAAGAGAACATGTTCCATGATGGGAAACGGCAATAAATTCTCGGTCTCATGCATCGTCACTAAAGTAGCTAATGAACTTCAGTTGTCACATTTCGATCTTATTTTCTGTTGTTGTGGTGATGAGATGAAGTATTTGCAGTCTAAAATTTTTTTTTCCACTTTCTGGTCCATAACATGGAAAAGTGGTGATTCTACATTTGCTGCAATTATTTTAATGGCAACCAACCACTGTCATAAGCATGAAATTGCTCCATTATTGCAATGGAGGAGTAAGTAGCGGGTGAAAAAAGTTATATTTTTGACAATATAAAAAGACATTTTCTTATATTAAAAAGAAAAAAAAAATTTAAAGAGGTTTTTTGTTTGGTCAGAAATCTGTATTCTCTTAAAAGGTGTCAAAGGAAAATGTTTTGACTAGTTCTGTTGGTATTGAGATGCAGTTCAGGACAACTAAACTGTTTAGTTTATTTGACTTACAGCTTTAGTAGGATTTTGCACATTCCTTTGTATTCTGAGACTCTAACTTCTGTCATGAAAAGTTTTGGCAAACCATTTTCTGTGACCTGACATTCTTGGGGTCCTTGATGCAGGTAACGTTTGGGCTCAAGTTGAGTTTTGATTTGATCAACTGTAACGTAAATAAGTTTTGGCTTGGATATCAAGTCTAATATTGTGATGCTTCCCAGACACACAAACCCCAGGAGAAGCTACCCGCTCCTCCTTTAAATACGTGTGCTTTCTGCGTGCCAGTTAAATGCAATTGTCGGGGACTAGGTAGAGGAAGAAGTTGTCTCTGTTAGCTCTCCGAGGCCAGAACTCGGTCAGTATAGTACAGCAGTAGCTTTCCTTTATTAATTCCCATCTTCGACAATCTGTCATTGATAAACACAGCTCACTTAGGGGCACACAGCCCATGCAAGCACAGCCTGGGTACTTGAACTTTATTTTTGGATGTCTGCATCATGTCAATTTAATGCCCATTAAAGCAACATCGCTGTCACGGCAGTAGCGATGTCTGCTATAGCTAATGTAACATAGCTGGTGTCATGCTAGCAGGCTGTTGCCATTGCCTCAAAAAATGTTTAGAAATCTTATTTCTGAATTAAACTTATTGACGTTTGAATTCCGTCCAAAAAGTGATTATATTGTTGTATTCGACCACACCCTTGCAACTGAGGTTTTTGAGGAGGAGAGAAAATATGTTCTTCCTTCTCACTAAAAGTAATTCCCGCAGACTTTCTCAGCCATAAGGTCAGAATCATTGTGGTTGTAATTTGAAAATGGGCAGCAGATAACAGGAAATGTCTCATAAGGACAGACTGGAAGATTGCTTTGTTTACTGAAAAGAAGGCAAGGACAGAAAAGCAGGCAAAAGATAGAGGGTGTTTCCTATATACTTGGGGTGTTAAAAGCAGACATTCTTTTCATGCTGTATTATGTGAAAAAAATGTATTGTGGTGAATGATTATGAAGAAAAGGCTGTCAGTGTGTATGCATGATAAGATGGGAAATTGGCTTTTCGTCACTTTATTTTTGTTTTATTCTGTCTTGCACAGTAGAATTTCCTAATTATTTTAGGATGAAATGGAATTAAAACATCTTTTTTCAGTTTGAAAATGGGAGAAGAATTCTCTTGATAGTAAACTGCATATAGGGAGATGTCAAAATAAGGATTTATGATCGTGGCTTCAGTTACGAATTTTTTTTGAAACATTTACTCCAGTCGACTTCACATAGGAACTTGAGTTGTGAAGATGCTGAGGTGTGTGTTGCCTTTTGCCATTCGATAGAAATCAAAGGAGGGATGTTCTGGCAGCAAGGAGTCAAGGTACTCACGTATTACAGTTTTCTGTGGGAGAGCAAGGCTTGCTAGGTCGGTGAGTTTGGATATTGGCTTTTCCTGGTAGTTCCTGAAGGACTTCTGATTCCTTTGATAGGGAATGTGGTTGGGCTACTTTAGTTGTAAATTAATGGTCCCTCCCCATCCTTCCTAAAGCTTGCGTTACTTTTAAATACTTGGAACTTTAAAGGGTTATATATAAGTGCAGGATATCATTATCAACTATTTAATTTAATCCACAAGGAAAATATATCTGAATTTATTTGCAGATAATCCATCTTGGTGGTTGAAAGGGAATTTCTTTTTTGGTTGTTTCGGGGTTTTAGTTTTCTACTGGCCCTTTGCTAAAGGGGAACAGCTCTGGGAAATCCAGGGTACTGTGGAAAGAAATTAGTTCAGGTTGTTGTTAATTTTCTAAATCACACTGATTTTATGAGGTCCTTGTTTGGTGACCTTCGCCCATCTACTCGCAGCTAAGAAATTGTAGCTTTATGAACTGAGGATGAAATGTGGAGCCTATTCTGAAGCGTGCCTGATAAAAACTGCCTTTTTTTTTGTTTGTGTGATGACACACGGTCCTCCTCTTTGTAATGTTTCCAGTAAAAGAACTATATTTCAAGGGCAATGAATTACTACTTCTGCTTTGGCATGTAGCCTGTGTATTTTTTATCAGATTGCTTTTATTCTCAGTTCAGGGATGAATGAAAAGTTCTGCTTCAAAATGTTAGATAGATATCTTTATGAAAGGGCTTTGGACTTTTAAATCAGATATGGGAATCTGAGGAACTGGTTCCCATAAGTTTATAGCAGAAGGTGTTTCACCAGCTGAAGTTAATTTCCTCCCATTCGGCTCTACGCATTGTGGCCAGCAGAAGACTGGTCTGCTCCCAGGGCTACATAAGCAACAGCTTGTACCAGGGAAAGGTTATTATATTTTAAGTGAGATGAAGTGCAGAGACTGCAGAACATGGGGACAAAACTAAGTATGAGGGATATAGGGAAAGGAAAGCACATTTCCTTCATCCAGGTAGGTTACCGTTTCTTTACTGCAGTCTGCGTTGTATGCAGTTCTCAAATTGCTCTTGCTCTGTTGCAGAAGAGTGGATGCAGTGGATGCATCCCTCTGTTGCAGAATGAGAGGACAGTAATCCTGATCCATCTGGATCAGTAAAGTCATCATGGGAGAGTGGAAATGAGACAGCTGTCCTGAAGGTTCAAACAAGCAAAATGCAGAGTACATTGAAATTCAACAATTCTGGTGCTTTTATGAGTCTTAGAAGATTTATGAGATTTTCTCATAAAAATCTATGAGATTTTTTTATTATTTTTTTTTTTAAACACCAGCTCCTGGGAACAAGACTGGCTACAAAGGAATCTCTGTATTCACTTTCTGAAAAGTTTCAAGCCCTCTTGACTGTGAAAAAATAATTGAAAACGTGAGCCAAGTGATTTGAGTAAGGATTTAGCTGATCATTTCATGACTTTAAGAAACCAGAGCCAAACTGATTCCTTCTTAATTGAGGGCCAGGTCTTTAAACTAATGTTTAATTATATTTTTGAGACCTTAATCAGGATCTTTAGAAATTTGAACTTAGCATTATTACTTCTTGATCCTTATCCAACAAAGAGTTTAAGCAAATGCTCATCTCTTAAAGTCACAAGAAGTTTGACTTCAGTGGAACTGCTCGCAAGCTGAACATTGAACATTAGTCCAAGTGCTTTGGTGGATCTGGACCAAGTTACACCCTCCTGCATAAGATTGAGCCGTGACACTGATCAGCCCAAAATTTGATGTATTGCTGTGTCTAGGCACCTGCTGTTTCCTGGATAGTTTTCTCTCAAACAGAAGAAATTTAGGGATATCATTCCCCTAAATTTGCATTTTCCTTGTTATTTTTACTTATTCCTTTTCTTGCTCTTTTTTTTTTCCTCCAGTTTGCTTTTTCTTCTGCATGTCATTTCTTATTTTTTTGCAATTACTGTATTATTATGTCTGATGCATGTAACATAGGTACTACACGTAAATGCAACGAGTTTTTTGCAGCAAGGATCAACGTTGCTTTTATGATGGATAAAACCCCAAAATATTTTCTAAAATCAATTCAGTTGCTTAGTTTGCATTAAAGATACAAATGTTTGTCAACAGATGATTTATTTGTATTACCATAGTTGCTTACAGTGTTTAATGAGGGATCAGGGTGCTCTTGCTCTATGTTGTACTTACACATGGAGTTGGAGAACCACGGCTCTGATTTAGTGTTAGTGAATTCTTCATGTCCATATTTCAGTGCCCAGACCATCACTGTTTACTTTGACTTTCGCTTTTCTGAATGGGAAAAGCATTTCATTTCAAATGCAAGCTAGTTTCTTTAGGAAATGTTT